CACACACACACACACACTACACACACACACACTACACACACACACACACACACACACACACACACACACACACACACACACACACACACACACACACACACACACTACACACACACACACACACACTACACACACACACACACACACACACACACACACACACACACACACACACACACACCACTACACACACACACACACACACACACACACCACACACACACACACACACACACACACACACACACACACACACACACACACACCACACACACACACACACACACACACACACACACACACACACACACACACACACACACACACACACACACACACACACACACACACACACACACACACACACACACACACACACACACACACACACACACACACACACACACACACACACACACACACACACACACACACACACACACACTACACACACACACACACATATTTTGACTGGTAATCCCATAAGCCTTCAGGTAAGTGGAGTGTGATTACAGGTAGTTTATTTCGACACCTGACTTACCTGTACTAGTGTTTTTTACTGTATTGTGGGGGACAGACAGACAGACAGACGGACAGACAGACGGACAGACAGACAGACAGAGACAGCCCAGTCCCAACCATTGTAAATTACTAACATAATAATCTTATTCTAAACTTCCGTCTATGTGAAATGACTGTTTGATCATGTTTTTTTGTGTCTTGTTGTTTATTTTATTATTCAAATACGTTTTAGCCTTCAAGTTAATAAACCGTTATTTATTATTATTATTATGACAGACAGACAGACAGACAGGCAGGCAGACAGAGAGGATGGAGAAAGGAAGGAGGATAGGTGAGAGGGAGGGAGAAGAAAAAAGGAGAACCAGGAGGAATGAGGAGAGGAAAGAGAGAGAATGGAGAGAGGTAAAAGTAATAATAACCACAGATAACAAGAGAACGGGAGATGGAATGAAAGGAGATAGATATAGAGAGAGAGAGACAGAGGAAAAATGGAGGAAAACTATAAAAACAGAGAGAAATAAAGAAAGAAGGAGAAAGAAGGGAAGAATAAAATGAGACCATGAGACAGGAAGAGAAACTGAAAGAAAAGAGAGAATGAGACAGTGAAATACAGATAGACAGATAATCAGACAGAGAGACACCATAGTTTCTCTTCATCTCTCACAGACCCGAGGTACAAGGTCAGGTCAGGTCAGGTCAGGTCAGGTTATTATGACCCCGTGGTATTTAACATAATCTGTGACCTTTGACAAAATTACCAATCATATTGACCTCATTTACAAACAAAACTCTACAACATCTGGGAACTTTCTGAAACTTTCGCTGCTGGGAACCCAAAATAAAACTTTCTTTAACTTGGACCTGATAGTTTGGATCCCTTAAAAGACCTGGATTAAAAGTTTACAAAGTTTGATGCCAGCTCGTCCAAACAGTATGTAAATCTCATCAAAGTTTCTAATATGGTGTTCGGGAGGATCTGGGATGGGCGTGGAACGGGAGGGATGGGCGTGGAACGGGAGGGATGGGCGTGGAACGGGAGGGATGGGTGTGGGACGGGAGGTGAAGGACAGGACGGAAGGAGGGAGGGATAATGAAACAAAAGCATCACAGTTGACAGACAGTGCGAGATGAAGGAGGGAAGGAGGGAGAGGGGTAGGAGAGGGAAGGAGGGAGAGGGGTAGGAGAGGGAGGGCGGGAGAGAAGATGTCAATGTTTACTTTCCATTCGTACTGATCTCCTCACCCGGTCACAGGTCACGAGTCAGCACAGGTCATGAGTCATCACAGGTCACGAGTCATCACAGGTCATGAGTCAACACAGGTCACGGGTCAACACAGGTCACGGGTCAACACAGGTCACGGGTCAACACAGGTCACGAGTCATCACAGGTCATGAGTCAACACAGGTTATGAGTCATCACAGCAGATCACGAGTCATCAGAGGGTCACGTCAACAGCAGGTCACGAGCCAACACAGGTCACGAGTCATCAAAGGCAGAAACAGCACAAGCCAACAGTGACACAAGGATGTAATGAGGTTAGCCCACTACCTCATGCTCAGTCAGGCTAAAGTGGACCGGAGAAGTGGTGGAGACTCACTTCTCGCCTCATTACCACTGATGATCACTCCACCACGGCGGGGGGGAGGGGCGGGGGGGTGAGGGCGGGGGGAGGAGTAGGGGAGGTGGCGGTAGAGGTGAGGATATGGAGAGGTGGAGTGGAAGGGGAGGAATGGGGTGATGGAGAGGTAGAGAGAGATGGGGATGGAAGAAAGGAATGGAGGCAGAACGTGGGGGCGGGGGAGGGGGTTAAGTCTCTCCCTGGTGGACGGTCGTCAGCGAGTCTCCACTAAGCCTGTTAACATTAAATCAGATTATATTATTCTCTCTCTCTCTCTCTCTCTCTCTCTCTCTCTCTCTAACTATCTGGGTGATCATTAAGACGGGAGTAACGAAGCGTTGTGATGACATCAAGAGTAACGGGGTTACCACAACCTCGTCAGAAGCTCACTGATTGGCGGACAACTTCGTCAGGAGCGCGCTGATTGGCGGACAAGCTCATCAGAAGCTCGCTGATTGGCCGACAACCTCGTCATGAATTTCTGTGAATGGTGGAGTCCTCGTTGGGGATCGACCCTGTGTCCCCCGGGATCACCTGCACCGTGGACCACACAAACTCTCTCCTGTGATGGATCTGAACAACTGACTTGGATAATGCTAAAGCCCGGACTTACATAAGGGTCGTCCGTACGGTAAATCATCCTCGTAACAAGAGGTTGAGGAAAACATCTAAGAGACTCACTTAAACTACAACACAAAGAGGAAGTCTCTGAGTCTCGTACCATCACCTGTACGAACGTCTCTACAGTAACCGGGTGACAACACAACGGTGAATTCTCAAAAGTTGTTCCCTTAAATTCTTTCTCTAAAGCTGGAGGGAAATGTCAGACGGTATCAAAGTGACTCACTCACCCTTAAGATGGACTCCCAGGGGCTCGCGTGTTAACTTGTCCTCATAAATATAGAGATTTAAGAACGTTCTAACCGGTTGACTTAAGCTCCCACACAACAGGTTAAACTTCAGCATCAACACTACATTAACCATCCAAGAAAATGGCTCCAAAACTGCACAGAGACTCTACCCTAACCAAACCGGATCACCCTTAACTCAAACAAGGGCCGGTAATTAACATACAGGGCCATAGAAGTAATCCCTTGGGTAAATTAGGGACCACGACGGAGGAGGCTTGGGGAGGTGGAGGAGCGAGGAGGAGAGGGGAGGGAGGAAAGCTGGGAGGAAAGCTGGGATAGGAGAGGGGAGGAGGGAGAGTAGCGGTGACGGAGAATCGTGGGAGGAAAGGATGGGAGAAGGTCTGGGTGGGAAAGGGAGAGAGGAGGGGAGCGTAGAAAAGGGTTGATACGGGACCTAATATAATATACCCCTGAGTCCCTGACCTAACCTAACCTAACATAAGTCCCTTACCTAACCTAACCTAACATAAGTCCCTTACCTAACCTAACCTAATCTATTTCTAACATACCTCTAACCAAACTTATCCCTAACCTAATCTAACCTAACCTAACTTATACCTAATTTAAACTAGCCTATTCCTGGCGAAGCCAAGTCTAACCTAAGACTACATAGACAATACATGGGATACGAGCAATGTACACGGGTCCGACTAATTACCCAAATGTAGTCGCAATGAAGTCAAATAATGGTCCTAGATGAATAAATCGGACTACCAATCACTTCTCGACTAGTATTTGGTGTCAGAAAGTCACAAAAAATTTATAAACTTAATTTAATCTAAGTTAATAGATCGAGTGCATGAACCTAACCTAACCTCGACTAGTATTTGGTGTCACAAAGTCAAAAAAAATTGGTAAACTTAATTTAATCTGAGTTAATAGATCAAGTGCATGTACCTAACCTAATCTAATCTAATCTAATCTAATCTAATCTAACCTAACCTAACCTAACCTAACACAACACAACTCAGATTAAATTAAGTTTACCAATTTTTTTTGACTTTATGACACCAAATAATAATCGAGAAGTGATTCACAGCCCGAATTACGCTTGTACGACCATCATTTGACTTCATTGCGGCTACATTTGGGTAATTCCTCGCTCCATCGGACATGCACGCGATCTATTAACTCAGATTAAAGTAAGTTTTCCAATTTTTTGTGACTTTCTGACACCAAATACTAGTCGAGAAGTGATTAGCAGTCCGATTTATTCAAGTAGGACCATTATTTGACTTCAATCCGGCTACATTTGGCTACATTTGGGTAATTAGTCGGACCGATGTAGTATGTACACTGCTAAACTGTACACGTATACAAATAATGTATATAGGCAGTACAGATATATACATAATTTACATAGGCAATTCAGGTACTATATACAAACAATATACACAGGCATTACAGGTATACAAAGGCAAATAATAACTCAAAATAATAATAATAATAATAATAATAATAATAATAATAATAATAATAATAATAATAATAATAATAAAAATAATAATAATAATAATAATAATCATAATAATAATAATAATAATAATAATAATAATAATAATAATAATAATAATAATAATAATAATAATAATAAAAATAATAATAAAAATAATAATAATAATAATCTATGGTGAGACATTTACTTTATAAACAAAATCAGACCTTAAATACTATAGTATATCTTATTAATAATTAAATAAGTTCACCAAAAAGTTTATTAAAGTGAACACAAAATCCACAATTTGCTATAGAAGACATTATTTCCGTATCATATATTCATAAAACAACCATAAAAACAACATTAATAACGCAAAAAATACACGGTTAACGATACAAAATATAACGAATATTAACTCAAAATACAATCCATATTATATACTTTTATGTTTGAGTTTACTGGAGTATTTAATAGAGAATGAGTTAGTAGTTTATGTAATCGATACCTTGAGGAGGATCAGCTGTTGAGGTAAACAAGGGAGAGGACCGGAGTAACTATGTCACCCAGAGTAAATCACCGGGATGTTTCACCTTTCCTCAGAGCTATCCGCCAGTTTCTTTTAGGAGTAAATTTATGAGTATTTTTGTCTTTTAGTTGTTAGTAATTCATAAATAAATGGTATGTAATTAGATGTGTATACAGTATTGAAGAGAGAGTAGAGGTGTTGCAGGCGATCATTGTGTGTTGCTCCAGCTTGAGTTATTTACGTAACATTGGATTTGGATTTTATTGAGTAATAATTTATACAGTATAGGTATAATTATATATATATACCGAGAATAACACATAAATAATTAGTAATTCTTATATTGAATGTGGTGTTTGCATGTATGTATGTGTGTGTGTAATGTTCTAGATGACTGACCATGGAGAAGGAGCTATTTTAGGGAACATTTATATAGAAGAGAACTTGTTTCTTATCTCTCAAATATACGGAAATGGTTGGAGGAACTGAAAGGATGTCATATTTACAATTGACCATGTGTGTACGGGGTCCCCTTCTGTGCTGTATAAAATTGTTTAGCATTAACCAAATAAAATATTAAAAGTGGTGTCCCCCGTAGTGAAGGGGTTAAACTGTTGACACACTTACCAGCGAGTAACCCTCACGCTAAACAAATGAACACTTCCCATACAAATTATTAATAACAAATAGTAACCTAACCTAACGTAAAATAATTAACTTCCATCCTAGGACAGGTTAGGTTGGTTGATTTATCTTCTATACAATAAATCATCAGTCATTGTTCAGACATGAAATGCCGCCTTCAAAAAAACGACCGAACTAATAATAAGAAAATTGCTAGTGCAGTACAGTATTAATTTAAGCATTAACATCTATGAAACATTTTTCGCTTAGTACTCTTAAACTGCTGATAATGGCGGCCACACAGGGATGATCGATCGCATTCCGGATGAAAACATTGTAAAAACAAAGCAGTAAAACTTCACTCCCCCAGTCATGTACTGTACAAGAGGTAAAAAAAAATAATAATAATGCAGTATAGACTTGGTTCCTAAAGTTGCTCTTTTACACAAGATGAACCAATCTATCCTAGGTTAGGTTGGGTTAAGTTACCTTAGGTTGGGCAGGTTAGGATAAATTAGGCAGGTTAGAATAAGTTAGGTCATCCTATCTCCCATAAATTATATAAAGTACCAAAGCAGAAACTGAAAGCGTTCCTGTGTATGGAAGTCATCTTGTCAACAATGAAATGGTGTCCGTGGGATGGAGATCAGTGTTCAGGTTAAAAAATAATAAATTCAAAATATAGTTAAAAATGTCAAATTCTCGTTATTTTCTTGGGGTAAATAAGGAGATGTCTTTTATAAGCAAATTTTCTCAAATTGCCAGTTAACCTGTGCCCTTGTTCCAGAGTATTACCCTAATATAAATGTAAGCTAAGATCACTACAGTAATTAGCTTGGGTTTGGTTTGGTCATAACATGTGTAGTCATATATGATTTATGTTTTAGCCCCTGGTTCAGGCTATTCTGATGGACATGAACACAACTCTTCATATGGAAAAGTTACCTTACCGGGTATTGAACCAGCTTTGAGTTTACACAAGTTGTTGTTTCCATGTTTCACACTGAATTAATATTGAAGAAGATAACAGACCTATTGTTAAAAATTCCATCAAGAAATATGAACATTTAACTAAATTTAACTTAGCCACCAACCAAACTCCTCTCTACTGTATGTTACTATCACAAGCAGCTTAGGCTATCCCTATTATTACAAGTCATTTTAATAGTGATTCATTAAAACATTGGTGATTCATATAAATTTCTCTTTGCAGCGAGAGCATACAAATGCTCTTCGTCAAGCAGATTTCTATGCTTGCCGATCACAGCCACCCCCCAATTTACCGCCTGGCGTGAGCGACAAACTCTCCAGCAATTACTACTACATGCGTGACGGCCGCCGTGCAGTTATACCAGACGAGCTGTTAGCTATTAATACCTCAACAGGTCCCACTCAGCTACTGTCTGTCTTGCCTGAGTAAGTGACCTTTGTTATGTACTGTACATTCTCCAGTTTTATTTAATACAGCAAAGAAACACAAGTTATTTACTAAAAAAATATCTAGGTATTGATTATATTTGGTTGTAACTAGCTACTATAAGTTCTGTTCAAGCATTCATATCTCTTGTACCTCTATCAATTGTTAATCTCTCTCAGATAAGATGATCAGTGAACATCTTGACGGTATAGACTAGAACTTTGAAACTTTACCTTAATGGGGCAGTGAGAGTAGGCCAACAGCACTCATCAGTTAAGACAGCCCAATGCAGTCAAATTAAGCACTGCCTGCCTCTCCCTTATCAAGTTGTGTGCTATCTGCCCAATCCTGGATGTCCTGCAGCACGTTGAAAACAAAATAAGCAATACAATTCACAGTAGAGTATAATAGATAAGGTAGAGCTGTACCTTAAATATTATGACCTAAACCTTACCAAGAACCAAATACTGTATATGTAAATTGAACCATCACCTTCTACCCTCACTTTGATTTAAATAGTTAATGCATTTATTTTCTGGTTTAATCAGTACTTCTCTTCTCTCTCGTTTTTATTTTATTTTATTTTAATTTCTTTAAAAGTTGATGTTCTATAAAAAAGACAATGTGAAGTATTGGACTTAAAATGAGAAATAAGCAAGCATGAATGTGGGTCCTATTATTACACACATACACACTAGGGGTATTTACACTGGACAAGGTGAGAGAAATGGAGAGAATGTCAGCCTGGCAGGAACCACCACCAGTATTACAGCCTCGGTGATTCTGCCACTAGACCCACTACAGCACTTCCTCAGGTGACAGTTTATGCTGAACAACACAAAAGATTCTATAGAAATATGATAAAATCCATCCATACCATCAGTTTAATTGAGTTATTTGTGGGGAAGCCAATTATTTTCTGGCAGTTTTGAAGGAAATTAGGTAAAGCATTAATCTAGCTCAATGAACTTTTGTTGTGTAAGTGACCCCTTTCCAGAAATATGTGAGCATCATGGAGGGGAAAATACACTGATACCACAAATGGCTGTATGAGTAAAACCCTTATCAAAGGATCAAATTGTATAGGAACTGAAACTCATACTACTGTATACCTGACTATTTGACAACCAACACATGGAGGGAGACGGCTGAACCACAATGCTACACTCAAATGGGTTCATGGGCAAAGTTTATTTTAATTAGTACTATTTAAAATGGGCATAAAACTGTAATGGTTAAAATATAATTCTCACATCTTTGACACATTTTGATTGAGCAGCTCTGTACAGCCAGTTAATGAGAATGTCGAATCCCCAAATTTAGGTGTTTATTTTTCTCCTAGTATTGTATTTGACAATCCTTATTCAGAAATATTAACCTCAGACAAGAAGTGACAAAGATACAGTACACCTTCTCCCTTTTGCCATTTCTTAAAGGTCAAGGATTATTTTCTTCTTTTGAGTCTTGTTTTGTCTTCACTGTCCTCCATCATCTCGGTGTCTTGCGTATCTTTCTCACCCATAATCCTCCTTCTTAACTTTGTGTTCCCCCTTGACCTCCTCTCTGATTGGCTCATTCCAGCAACTCCCCCATACATGTCTAATCATCTCAACATTGCCTCTTGTCATCATAGTCTATATGTTGTTGCTGTAATGTCTTTCTTCTCGACCAGGACCAAGGTAACACAGACACCTAAAGTACACATCCAATCATCTTAGGTTTTCCTCTGTCATCGTGTTGATTATACTGTGCATGTCATTTATACTCAGCAGCCAGGCCCAAAGTAACATAGGCACCTAATGTGTGTTCTCTCCCAACAGAGCTGAGGATGCTGTCGCTGTTGTCATGAAAAAGCCAAAAATTCCAGGAGTAGTTCATGACTATGGCAGTGGCTTCAACTAATAGTACTGATGATAATTTTGAATTCTCGTGATGTATGTACAGATTGTAAATTACAATAAATAGATTCTAGACTTTTGTTGTTCACTTATCAGTACACATGAGACCCCTAAATTTTTCCGGACATATTATGGTATAGAAAGACAATATCTATGAGCCTGTTAATTTTTGTTTCACATGAGAGATGCTTTGAAAATTTTCTAACCAGCTGCAGGTATATAATGTTCCCATAGGTAGAGCCCATTTCAAAAGGAGGGAATTTAGTCTTCATATACATTACAGTAAGTGTTGTAGTCGCTATCCTGCAGGGTGGTATGTACAGTTACCGGCACTTATTCCTGGTACAGTGGCTGGAGGATTTTGTGAGATGTGGCAACTATGTGGAATACTTATCTAGCATCCTTAGTCTGGCTACTCTTGAAAGGTTCTTTACAGCCATTCCTGGAGTCTTAATGTGATGCAAACAGAGTCGCCACATCTCACAAAACGCACCAGGTATGTGTACAGGCGACTGTACATTGTCCCTCAGTATTCCCTCACCCTAACATAACACTACATTGTCCACCTCATCATCAGTCTCCTCCTCCATCACACCTTACGAAATAAAGACCTTACACGTAGGATGCAACAACCTTAATCACAACTATTCTGTTAACACTTTCTTGGGTACTGTTGATAAGGAGAAAGATTTAAGTGTTGTGAAACCCTTCATTGACGGCAGCACAACAGGTGGGGGCAGCAGTGAGAAAAGCAAACAGAGATTCGGGAATTAGAAAGCGTACCTTTGAATACAACAATACGAAAATGCTCCTTCGGCCGTCCAAACCTCAAGTATGTCCTAGTCTGGATTACTGTACACAGGCATGGAAACCCTACCTCCAGATAGACTTAACATCCTAGAAAAGGTGCAATACAGAGCAACCAAGATGATTCAGAAACTATGTTGGCCTTAACACAAGGCACAATTGGGTAGGTTTCACTGAAACATTCAAAATCTTAAAAGGGATGGAAAACGTGAACCAGAGCCATTTCTTTGTGATGTCACGCACCACTAACACGAGAAGACATCACTACAAGCTCGCCAATTTTTCATGCAAAACAAATTTAACTTAATACTTTTACAAACAGAGGCTGGTAGACCTATTGAATGGTCTACCAGCCCAAGCTGTGGAATTGAAAATAATAATGGGCTTCAAAATAGCCCTAGACAAAATTATCAAGTGGGTGGCCATTAAGTAAATAAGGTAAATTAGTAAATAAGACACCAATGGAAGAATGAATGTGGGTCAGGTACAGTTAAGACACTTTGTATGTATTATTGTCAGTATGAATGAACATAATGACTCTGCAAGTGATAAAATGTTATGACACATCATAATCAATGGTTCACTCAGTATAGATGTTGAGGTACAGTGTTGTTACCTGTTATGTCAGCCATGTCATCACTTCCTACACTTTTCTTTGAGGTTCCTGTTCCTCCTGGCTCACCTAACACACACATGGCTGCTGAGAAAAAATAGTACATAAGTATAAATAAGCTCAGGTTAAGTTAGAGGAGATCGGCCTATTATTAGGGACAGGAAGAAAAGTTGATACTGTACTGTGCAAGCATGAGAGGGATGACCAAGACAGGTGTGCAGGCATAAGAGGGATGACCAAGAAAGGTGTGCAAGCATGAGAGGGATGACCATGACAGGTGTGCAGGCATGAGAGGGATGACCATGACAGGTGTGCAGGCATGAGAGGGATGACCAAGAAAGGTGTGCAGGCATAAGAGGGATGACCAAGACAGGTGTGCAGGCATGAGAGGGATGACCAAGACAGGTGTGCAGGCATGAGAGGGATGACCAAGAAAGGTGTGCAGGCATGAGAGGGATGACCAAGAAAGGCATGTGACCAAGAAAGGTGTGCAGGCATGAGAGGGATGACCAAGAAAGGTGTGCAGGCATGAGAGGGATGACCAAGACAGGTGTGTAGGCATGAGAGGGATGACCAAGACAGGTGTGCAGGCATGAGGGGGATGACCAAGACAGGTGTGCAGGCATGAGAGGGATGACCAAGACAGGTGTGCAGGCATGAGAGGGATGACCAAGACAGGTGTGCAGGCATGAGAGGGATGACCAGACAAGTTAATGTGTACAGTTGACCACCAAAGTATGGTAACCTTCCCGAGGCTGCCTGAACTGAAACATTTTTGACCCGAGTGTCATGCTATTATTCACCTGAGTCAGACTCCCAAGCATTCCATTTCTGCTGCCAATACTCCAGTTATGTTTCAAGGTACACTGGTGATATCAGATCACTGACCATTGACTCTTTGTACTTCAGAACCATTTTTCCTCCATTCTTGGTCATTCATCAATAAATACGGAATAAGAGAGAGCTCCAGAAGGTCATGTTGTTGAGCTGCTGAGAATGAGTTTCGAGTTCCCAGAGCAAATGGTCAACCAAAAGAAATGTGATGGTGCGATGGAAATGTACTTTGGGGAAACTGCTAGCATGTTAGATGTATTAATTTACCCTCTGTTTACACAAGGCAGTGATGGTTTAAATTCATTGACTGATTCAGCTAAGATAACAGCTTGTGTGTCCCAAATGTCACCAATTTAATAACACCACAACACTGTTTTGTCCCTGACAGAGCTGTGCAGATTTCAATACTGTAGTGTGTCCTTAAAGGCTTACAACAAGAGGGTTTGTGACAAAGTGCATTGCAATACACAGTAAATGACATCAGAAATTAAAATTGCATAATTGCAATGAACTATCAGGTACCACAGCAAACAACTGTACGAGGAAACACACCTACTGTACCTACGCAAACGTACACATGAAACTATCATAAAAAAATTTGATGATTTGCATAGTAACAGTGAAATCAGGCTCCACCCATTCTAGTCAGGCTGCATCCATCTCCCCCTCCTACATGTACAGTTCCTTGTAGATGCTTATTTGGCATATAGTATACAGCCTATCCTCAATAATACCTGGACATTTAAAGTAAGTGGACTGTAAAATAATACTGCCAGGCCCATTTGCATGTGTCTGGGGGGCACTGGGTCCAAGAGGGGTGAATAAACACTACAGTACTGTGTTGTAACATGGAAGAAAATGTTTCTAGAGTTTCCAGACTATACGGTACATTATGACAAACTTCTTAAAACCTTGTACTGTACAGTACAGTACTTACATAACTTATTAAATGTTGAAATGAAACACCAAACAAAATCCTTCTTAAATTTTTATTAAGATAAGAGCAATATTTATTACAGATCATATAAAATTTATAAACTTAATGAACTGAATAATTCTTGAAGACTTTCTTGTATAAGTGACATAAGTGATAAAGTATTGAAGAAGGTAAAGAAGAGGGAAAGTGTAAAAGCTGGATGAAAGAGACCAACCGTTAACCAGACAAGAGATGGGTGAACAGTATAAACCATAAGGCACACTTCTTCTGACTGCTATGACAATAAATTAAAACTATAAATAAAATCATCTCTACAGCCAATATATAAACGATTCCTGAACAGTATAGGAGATGCAAACAGCTCACCATTAACCTTACTTTCCAAAACAGTCTCTACGTGTGCCTCCGAGACTGTTGTGACGGAGGAGACCGGTGTGTCTGTATCTACGGCACCATGGAGATTTATATGAATTATACTGAATTTCCCAGACGTTTCACATATTACCGCCCTGAATGCCTTTTGGTCATCGAGTGAGAATAAGAATGGGGTTGCATATATGGGGGATGACCCACTGTACTGTGCAATTTTCTCACCGACTGCATTGAGGAAATATACACTGTGATCATGACAGCCGACACCGACTACTTCCACCCCATTATCTAACTGCAAGACAAATGGTGATGAAAATACATTGCCTTTAGTCTCAAATTTCCAGAGTCTCAAGCCTGACGAGGAATAACTAAATATTTCCCCGATTACATTTCCGAAAATTATACCTTTGGAATATAAAGCGAGAGAACTAAATACAGGTTTGTTGACGGATAATCTCCAGTTAATACTTCCTGTCGTTTTATTCACTCCGCTAATTATGCCATCAAGAGTAGCCACATAAACACTATCCCCGCTAATGCACGGTGAGGAGAATATGCTGCCATCTGAGACCTTTACAGACCATTCTAATTCCCCGTCAGCAGTTAAACAGTATAATCTTTTGTCGTGAGAACCGAAGATCACGCAACCAGTCTCCTCGTCAACAACAGGGGAGCTCTTCACCTCTCCTCCTGTTTCAAACTTCCAGGCGATACATCCATCCTCGACACAAGTGCAGTACAAACATCCGTCGTAGCAGCCGACATACACGTATCCACCGTCTCTTGATATGGACGGCGATGATTCTATTCTGCCACCAAGCACGACACACCAGCGCTCAGTTCCAGTTATTACGTCAATACACGCAAACTTGTGTGAGTGTGAGCCGACGCAGACAAAAGCCTCGGCACTGTTATATTCAACCACAACCGGAGTCGAGTCGATGCATTTGCCGAGGTTATATTTCCACTCCAGGTTTACGCTGTAGGGAACTGTAGTGTATTTTGGTGGTGACGTTCCTCTGTTATTTACGCCTCTTCTCGACACAACAGTCAGACTGGTGGAGTTATATCGAGGTACACGATCCTCTTTGTCTAAGGAATAATACTTCTGAGTGATCCCTTGGCTATGAGAGGTTGGAATATCATTGTATAATCTATAACTTTCTTTATCGTCCTTAACGCGTATGTCTTGGCTACTCTGGCTGTCTGAATATTCACTTTTAATCTTTTTTCGAGTTTCTGAATGTGAGTTGTCAATATTATCGATACTTTTCCTGGAATGATGATATTTCCTCACTAACTGGTAAGTCTCGAGAAAGGTGCCATTGAGTAACACATCCAGAAGGTTTGGTATCTCACAGCCAAGAAAAATTCCTAATTCCTCTGTAAACTGCACAGCATTTAGTGAATTTCCTCCACATTTAATAAAATTATCCCTTGGGTTTATGTTCTTAGACTTGCCTATTCTCTTCCAAAGATCTTTATAAAATATTTCTAATGATTGATGGTTAAAGTTATTATAATTTACTGTAGATGATTGGGGTCTTGTGGAGAGTAATTGGTCTATATCAACTTTGCCGTGTTTATTAAAAGGGACTTCCTTCACCACGATGACATTATCCGGTAGTTTCCATTCAGATAAATTTCTTTTCAAATCCTTCCACACAACTTCTTCACTTATTTCTTGTAAGTGTGAAAAAACAAAAGCTATAATTTTATCTTTGTTATCTAATACTACATGACAAGCATCAACATAAGTGTAGCTTTTACACAGTCTCTCAATCTCTGCAAGACTTACTTTCTGGCCACTACGCTTTACCTGCCGGTCTAATCTACCAAGACAATAAATTTTACCATTTTTTAATATTCCTCGATCACCAGTTGGTCTCAAAATTGACTGGATTTGTCTAGTTTTTACATCGCTGTCTTCCTTATCATTAAAAACTACACTGCCGTCATCCACCCAACAGATTCTCTCACTCCCTCCAATGTAAATTTCTCCCTCCCTGCCCTCCCCAACCTCCTCTCCTTTCTCACTCAACACCTTTATTATAGTAGAGCTCAGAGCCTTACCAACTGGGGTCATGTCAGTACACATACATTCTAGTGTATTTAATTGTTCATCTGAGGAACTTGGAATTTTTACATTGTCTGTTGTTATCTGTTTTGAACTGGCTAAAGGTTCCTCTACCGTGACTTCTGCTGCTGAAGCCCAACACGACACTTCTGTAATACCATAAAGGTTGAAAATCCTTACTTTACACGTCTTTTTCAACCATTGTTTTATGAGAGACAATTTAGGAAATATCTCACCCCCGAGAGCCAAGACTTTAAGATGAGAATTGTCGGCAAAGATTTTCTGCAATCTCTCTCTTCCAAAACTTAACATGAGTGTTGGTGTAGCCTGGAGAATGGTCATTTTATTCCTTACCATGATGGGTAATAAAAGACTTGGAATTTTCAACAACTGAGGTGACACCATGAGAAGTTTTGCTCCTGCCTTGAATGCCATGAACAGATCCACAACACTCGGATCAAACGTCAGCGGAGCAGCGCAGAAGATGCAGTCCTCTGGTCCTACTCCAAACATGGCCACCAAGTCTACAACATTCGGCATTATACAACGATGAGGAACGTACACGTATTTCGGTACACCGGTTGACCCTGAGGTTGGGATCACATAAGCCAGCTCCTTCATTACCTGCATTCCTTTAAATGCTGATTCTTTCTCACTGTTAAGAGACACGAGCTTAAAATGTGTCTCAAAAATGTCGAAGCTGCCCACAACATCGGAAAAGATTTCATTAAAATACTTCATGTACTTTTCTTCTACCAATATTTTTCTAGGGCAAACTCTAAGAAGTAATGATGTAAGTTCTCTCTTTGTACATTCTGGTGCAATATATAAATAGGCATTTTTTTCTAATATTCCAAGTATACAAGCAACTGCTTCAGGTCCCGAGGAACACAATATACCAATAACTGTTGTCTGGTCCTCGACACCCTGCGAGACCAAACCTTCACACACAACTGACTGCTTACCGTTAAAAACCTCTTTACTCTGAGTTCTTTGTTTCAGTGATGTCAGACTCAACATTTCAGTCTGCTTCCCCTGAGTGTCACCCTCACACAGTATCCTGGCCACTTCACTCGCTTCTCCCTCCAGCTCTCGGTAAGTGATCCTCCTCTCACTTACTTCATCTGGAAACAAAATGAAAACTTTACAAAGATATTCCCCCAGACCAGACCAGACCAAATGTGACTCATATCATGATATTTTGTGTAAATTAAGAATCCACTGACATTTTAGTTCATCAAGGCTGCTGTCATAATACTAAGAAATCAATATATTTACCATAAATTCAACAATGGTTCAAGGCATTTGTCCCTTTATGTAAGCAAACTCTTCATCAAAAGGCCTTCACTTATACAGGCATTAGAAAAATTCAGCAACCAGTTTTTGAGAAATCCTACAGTGACATCCTTTCTATATAGCATCTCCCACAAAATAATGAAATACTGAAAATGTTGTCAAGACACAAGGGGAGAGGATCAAGTCAGTACACTACACAGACAAAACAAAGAAAGTGTTAATGTAAAAAAACCTTAGTCTATATTGTACTGTACTGTCTTCTGAACACATAATAAACTTCTTAAAATAATCTTACATGTGATTAATACCTTCAGTCAGCTGGGTCACTTCAAAAACTAGAAGCTTTTCCTTTCTCCATTTTGTTTTATGAATTTCTTTAACACCAATAGAAATTACAAAGTACAGTACAAGGTGTATCACAATATACAATAGAGTAGGTGTGTCATAATATAGTACAGTACTACAATACCTCTACATCACTAGACTGTCAGCCTCATACATTATTATCTAATTAGATCTCATAAACTACACAACTGCAGTACATTACTATGATTCTTGAGCACTAACACTACAAGAGCAGTGTAATCATTCAGTGCAAAGATTTGTATTTTCTGTGGAAGTGAAAAATAGATAAAAATGCAAAGTTCAACATGACACTTCACAATTAAATAAAGTTAATAAAATAGTTTTTATGAATTATTTAAAAAACCTGATTGCCAACCTTGACAGTAAGTAAGTGCCAAGCTCTGAGGATGTTTTGTAGCTTCCACATGAAAGAAAGTGGCAAGGTTCCTTGCCATTGTGCAGTACTCCAACCACAGCCAGTCAGCCAAACAGCTGCTTAAAGCTGAAAAGACAAAAGAAACTATAATGTGGAAATATCATATGAAGGATCAGAAACTACATACAGCTCTATGTAGGGTGTTGGCTACATACTCTTTGGAAAAATTTCTGACATCATTGTTACCCAAGTGCAGACTGACTGACAAATCTGATGATGTAGGAAGGACAAAGTACAACGACCTGCATATATAAAACCAATTTACCTCAGCATATGGTATACTGTACTACCTGCAATAAAATATCAACATACTGTATAGGTGCATATCCATTTTATGGCATGAAGCAGTTCTCGTTTTAATCCAGGTAACATGCTACCACACAAACCTCACACTGATGATTAGGAAAAATATTGTGATGCAAATGGATTAATTTTTCCAAAAAATAAGTTGATTGGTTTAGTAAAGTTAGAAAAGGTAAGGCCTCAGTGTCCTATCATGTATGAGTAGCAAGTCATGGTCTCAATATATTCTTGTAGCCTTCACTTACTACTTTTGTGTGTGTGTGTACATCTTCACGATGCTGTGCAATACCAGATAAAATCAGCATAATATTGTTATTGCATTTCATGGGATTTAGAGAGCTACACACTTCAGAATTGAGTTAATCTTGTTTTCATCAATAAAATAACTTCCATTAACCTTACCACATAACATTAAAGTGGATACCATAGGCCTGATGGTCCACTTGGGGCAGTACAAACACATACACTAAAGACTGTGCTTTTCGTGGTACACAAGGAGAGTGGCCAACACCACTCATATGCCTCCATTTCCCCAATTGAAAAGTTACGTATCATAGCCATTTACAGATGGAATGACTGGGGATGCCAGTGGCGTGAACCAGTGACTAGCAACCTTATACAGTACTATGGATATAGTACTGGAGAAAATGTAAAAAAAAAAAAAATGTGTACAGTACTTCATCCACCCAATTGGAGTTATTCTTGAGGCAAATAATAAGTTTTGTTCTTTAGAGATCTTTCGTTACATGGCTGGGGTAATCTTGTATTCAACGGTCATAAAATCACAAGACTTGATATTCTACGAGATTGAGACCTTTCCAAAGTATCAGAAACTATTGCATTATAATTTATCATTCATAAAATGAACCAATCTAACCCACGAAACCTAAATTAACATAAAACATATACAGCACAGTACTGTAATAATGTTGGTAAAGGTGGAGCAGACGGTTAGCGCCAGAAATAACCTCTGGGGAATTGAACCAAAAATTCTGGAATTACTATTAACATGATACTGAACACGAAAATGGAAATGAGAATGCACAGAAGCTGACATAACCAGCCTAAGAAACCTACTTAAACATACCTAACGTCCCGCCCGCAGAATATCAGACAGAAAGACGTAATTTTAGTGTCATATGATCAGTTTTTTGCTGTTATTATTATTCTGCAATTTTCCTCATCCTTCATGATCTGCCCACTGTCGGTAAGGTTGTGTAGGTTTCTTTGGTTAGGTTAGGTTAGGTTCTGTGCATTGTTGTATCATTTTTATTACTTACTATCATCCAAAGAACACCTGTGGAAAAATTAACAAATATAAACACTCACGCTGATTCACGCACAAGACTATGACAAAAGAAATACTCCCACTGATTGGCTAATTTTATCACAAAATAAAAATTTTAATTATCCCCAAAACTATAAATTTTCTATAGAAACGTTATATAAGAATTTTCTTTTTTTTCTCTATATAACCATATATGACTCAATATTCAGGCCCCTGGTGACAACTTCTGGTGATGGCCATCTGCCTCACCTTTATCATGAACACTTTCATAATGTACAGTATATGTATTCACACTGGTACAGTATTGTTGCATTTTCAGCCAATATGCAGCCAATGATTTGTTGCTTAAAAAATGAATAGATCTTGTCGAGAGCTATCTTCTGAACCCTACTTGTCGCAATTGAATAATAAGTGAGATATGAATCATTCAAAATCCTGTAAATGAAAAACATGAACTAGGGCCATTTGTTTGTGATGTCACCCACACCAACACGAGAGGACATAACTACAAGCTCACCAAGTTATCATACAGAACATAAGGAAATACTGGCTATTACTGCTTCATTAACTAGCTCTCTACCTATCCTGTTCTCCTTATTCTTCTCTAAATTATGGAGATGTTCTTTATTTGTTTTATGTAAGTGGGAAATTCTTTTTATATTACTAGTCTCCTTTCAATAGCAGGTGTTCGTCCCTCCTCAGCCCTGACACAGACTGTTTGTTTAGGACGGAACACGAGCATAAAATAATGACCCACGACATGTAACTTCCATACCTTGGTAAGAATCTTAGCAGCCATTTCTTCAGCTCTTAACAGTCTACTTGGTTCTTAATTTAGGGAACTTAAGAACCAAGCATACTTTTTTACTTTTTACTTTTAACCTCTTCACTACTGATCGGCTCGTTAGCCGCCCGGGCGATCGGTCACGTCTCTGTCACTCACTGTTGGCAGTACTGGGCATGCACCGGCTCCTGAATGTACCTGAACCCGCCCCAGTGTTGGTCAAGTCTTCTCTTGAAAGAGCTCACACTCGGTGCCGTCACAACACTCTCTGGTAGATTGTTCCAAGAGTTCACAACTCTCACTCCGAAAAAGTTTGCCCTCACAGTTTTCTGGACTTGCGGCTTCTTCAATCTTGAGCTGTGACCCCTTGTGGGCGAGTGTCCGCCAGCTCCAAGTAAGGACACTCAACTGAGTAGTGCCCCTGAGATGCTTATACACCTCAACTAGGTCCCCCCTTGCCCGTCTGTAGTATAAGCTAGGCAAGTTCAGGCGCTCCAATCTCTCAGGGTAGCTGAGGTGCCGAAGTGCAGGCACCAGTCTGGTGGCCCTCCTTTGAACATTTTCAACCAACTGACAGTCCCTAGCATATCTCGGGGACCAGATGGGGTGACAGTACTCCAGATGGGGAAGCACTTCACTCCTGAAGATCGTCACGAGGGACGGACCGTCTAGATATCTGAACGACCTTCTTATAAGACCCAATAATTTATTTGCCTGATTTACCTTCTTCTCACAATGGCCCGAGAACTTCAGCTCATTGTCAACATACACACCTAGGTCCTTCTCACACACAGTCTCAACTAGTACATTTTCTTCATCCCGTTGGGACATATGGATACGCCTCCTTACCGTTGGTACGCCCCAGGTGCATCCTCTTACACTTCGTGACATTGAATCTCAGCAGCCATTCCTTCGACCATTCCTGGAGCCCACAGAGGTCCTTCTGCAGCTCTTCACAGTCCGCTTGGTTCTTAATTTCCCGAAATAACTTGCCATCATCGGCAAACATTTGTATGGAGGAGTGTACAACGTCAGGCATATCATTTATGAAACAAACAAACAACAGCGGGCCCAATACACTACCCTGCGGTACCCCACTTGTTACAGGTACAGATGACGATTTCGTGCCATTAATCACCACACATTGCTTGCGGTCATGTAGAAAGTCTTCTATCCACGCTAGGACATTTCCCCGAATTCCGTACCCTTCCAGTTTGATTTTCAGCCTTTCGTGGGGTACACTGTCGAAAGCCTTGGCAAAATCTAGGTAAATATTGTCGATATTACCACCCCGTTCTAGAATATGGGTCCAAATATCCAATACCTTGAGCAATTGTGTCAAGCAAGAGCGCCCCGGCATAAAACCGTGTTGGCAATCTTTTACAAGGTTGTTTCGTAGTAGATGTTCCATCGCGGCATCTCTGATAATACTCTCAAGTACTTTACATATTATGCTGGTCAGGCTCACCGGTCTATAGTTGTTCGTGGAGTGACTATCACCCTTCTTGAAGATAGGACTCACATAAGCCACTTTCCATTCACTGGGGACCATTTGTTCATCCAGGCATTTACAAAACAGAATCTTCAGGGGCTCTGCAAGCTCGTTGCACAGCTCTCTTAGCACTCTAGGATGCACCATGTCAGGTCCGGGACTCTTATGGACCTTTAGCCTGGACAGTTTATTTCTAATACCCTCTTCTGTGAACACAATGTGGGTCAGTGCTGTGTCGAACCGTCTGTCCTCAAACGCAGGAAGGTTAGTTGCATCCTCTTTTGTGAACACTGAGGAAAAGAAGCTGTTCAATGCCTCAGCTTTATCCTGGTCAGAATCTGCGTAACTACCATCTTCAAGCCTCAGGTCTATACTCCTACTCGCTTCAGAAGGAAATGGCTGCTAAGATTCAATGTCACGAAGTGTGCCAACGGTAAGGAAATTCAAGACGTGGGTTGGATCAAATGATGAGCAGGACAGGAGGATTTTTTTTTACGGGAATTAGCCAACCCGGGCACAGGTCAAACGACCCACAACGGAGCCTGGGGGGCAAAAAAAAAGAACGGAAAGAAATTGAAAATATAGAAAAAAAGGTTATACTGTATTAATCTACACCACGAAGATGCCGGAAAACCAGCTTTTTAAAGTGAGACAGATTGTAAGAGCATGGAAACACAGAAGAAGGCAGAGCATTCCACAGTTTGGCTGTGTGAGGAAAGGAGGTACTATAATGGGTTATTCTCGTGTGACCGATATCCACAGAGAAATGGTGGGCACCGCGGGCAAGACGTGTGTTACGAACCCACACAGGATGCCAAATCCCCTGAACATTGCCCGTTAAAGTACCTGTAAAAGAGAGAGAGTGAAGCAACATTGCGGCGAAGAGAAAGGGGAGAGAGATTGTCGACTAAAGGAGGAGAGTTAATAAGACGAAATGCCTTTGATTCCACCCTATCTAATAGTTGGACAGAAGAAGAGCCACCCCAGATATGAGAGCAGTACTCCAAGTTAGGACGAATGAATCCCTTATATACTTGGAGCAACTGCTCAGGAGTGAAGTAGCTGCGGCATCTGTACAGCATTCCCAACTTTCGGGAGGCAGCTTTAGTTATACTAAGGATGTGTGATTTCCAGGACATACTGGAGGAAATGGTGAGGCCTAACATATTTATTTCAGAATTTGGCAGGATGATAGCGTCCTGAAATGTAATTGGTGGGAGATCGTCTACTTTACAAAGTGTAATTGGTAAATATTGAGTTTTGTTACTATTGAACTTAACCAAGTTTGTATCTCCCCATTCAGAGATGCTGCACAGATCCGCGTTGATAGAAGTAATGATATCAGTTCTAGAAACAGATCTAGTTTGAGAGTTAGGAGGAAGGGGAAAATGTGAGGAAGAGTGAAGAGTAGAATCATCGGCGTAAGAATGGATAGAATTAGTTGTAGTGTGAAGTAAATCATTGATAAAAAGAAGAAAGAGAGTTGGTGAAAGAACAGAACCCTGTGGGACGCCACTATTGGTAGAGAAAGAGCGAGAAATCGATCCCTCGACAACAACTGCCATGGATCGATTCTCAAGGAAGCTAGAGATGAGAGAACAAAGTGGGGGAGAGAAACCAAAAGAGGGAAGTTTAGATAGCAAAGACTTGTGCCATACCCTGTCAAATGCTTTGGAGATGTCGAGGGCCACGACAAAAGTTTCCCCATAATCCCTAAGAGAGGATGACCAAAGATGGGTGCAATAGGAGAGCAGATCACCAGTAGATCTTGCCTGGCGAAAGCCATACTGGTGATCCGACAAAAGAGAAAGGCGTTCAAGGTGACGGAGAAAATGGGAGTTCAAGATAGTTTCGAAAATCTTAGAGAGGGATGAAGTTAGGGCAATGGGGCGATAGTTAGAGGGATTAGAATGGTCACCCTTCTTCGGGATGGGCTGAACCAAGGCATGCTTCCAAGAAGAAGGAAAAGTTTTGGTTTTGAGGCAAAGGCGAAAGAGGCGAGCAAGCACAGGGGCCAGGGCTTCAGCACACTCCCTCAGAACACGAGGGGGTATTCCGTCCGGTCCATGCGCCTTACTCACATCCAACCTGGATAACACACCGGCAACCCTGCGAGTGGAGATTATAGGAAAGTGCATAGGTTCAGTAGGAGGTGCAGGGGTAGGAGGGGTAGAGTTGGGAATCGTCTAAGGTGGAATTAGAGGAGAATAAGGTGCCAAAGAGGTTGGCTTTCTCAGGGGGAGAGTTGGCTATAGAGTTATTGGGACGGAAGAGGGGAGGAAAAGAAGGCGTGCAGAAGTTGTTACAGATGTTTTTAGCTAAGGACCAGAAGGATTTACTAGAGGAAGAATTAGTCAGGACAGCAGTCTTTCTTTTAATAAAATTCCGCTTGGCCCTACGAAGAATAGCCTTACAACGATTCCTAGAAGTAATGAAAGAGGTGTGGGTAATAGGAGAAGGAGATAGTTTCATAGCTCGATATGCCCTATCTATCACCCTGCAAGCAAGAGAGCAGGAGCGATCAAACCATGATTGTAATGTGAAAGTTTTGGTAGAAGATGGGATAAATGCACTCATACCGCCCTGTATAACCCCAGCAATGCTGTCAGCACATACTGAGGCATCCCGAGTGGAAAAGCAACATTCATCCCAAGGAAAGTCGGTGAAGAATTCTCGCAAGGATTGCCAGCTTGCCCTCCGATAGTGCCATAGTTGACGTTTAGAGGGGGGTGGGGGAGGTGGTCGTGCCCAGTTTGATTTAATAGAAATAAGGTTGTGATCAGAAGACCCTAAGGGGGCAAAAATTGAGTATGAATAGTGTGAGGGGTTAGAGGTAAAACAAAGATCAAGAATGTTAGCAAGTTGATCGTGTCGATCAGGAACGCGTGTAGGGTGTTTGATTATTTGTTCCAAATCATTAAGTAAGGAAAAAGAGAGTGCCTCAGCTCCACCTGCAAGAGCCAGAAACCAAGCAAAGATAGAATGTAGAAGGACTTAAAAGGAGTTCCAGAGTCTGGTTGCAAGCGAGGTCAAGTCAAACCCAAAGGTGTTTTACCACTCTGCAAAGTCGAAATTAAAAACGCGAGTAAGATAATCAGACCTGAGGCTTGAAGATGGTAGTTAAGCAGATTCTGACCAGAATAAAGCTGAGGCATTGAACAGCTTCTTTTCCTACGTGTTCACAAAAGAGGATGCGATTAACTTTTTTTTTTTTATTGGGCACCCCCCTACATTCCTGTGTAAGGTGAAGCGCAGAAGCGTTTACAGCGCCCAACAGCGTTTGAGGACAAACGGTTCGACACAGCACTGACCCACATTGTGTTCACAGAAGAGGGTATTAGAATTAACTGTCAAACCTAAAGGTCCATAAGAGTCCCAGCCCTGATATGATGCCTCCTAGAGTGCTAAGAGAGTTGAGGAACGAGCTTGCCGAGCCCCTGAAGATCATGTTTTGTAAATGCCTGGATGAACAAATGGTCCCCAGTGAATGGAAAGTGGCTTATGTGAGTCCTACCTTCAAGAAGGGCGATCGTCACTCCACGAACAACTATAGACCGGTGAGCCTGACCAGCATAATATGTAAAGTACTTGAGAGTATTATCAGAGATGCCGCGATAAAACATCTACTACGAAACTACCTTGTAAAGGATTGCAAACACGGTTTTATGCCAGGGCGCTCCTGCTTAACACAATTGCTCAAGGTATTGGATATTTGGACCCATATTCTGAAACGGGGTGGTAATATCGACAATATTTACCTAGATTTTGCCAAGGCTTTCGACAGTGTACCCCACGAAAGGCTGAAAATCAAACTGGAAGGGTACGGAATTCGGGGAAATGTCCTAGCGTGGATAGAAGACTTTCTACATGACCTCAAGCAGTGTGTGGTGATTAATGGCTCGAAATTATCATCTTTAGCTGTCACAAGCGGGGTACCACAGGGCAGTGTATTGGGCCCGCTGTGTTTTTTTGTTTGTTTCATAAATGACATGCCTGACGCTGTAAACTCCTCCATACAAATGTTTGCCGATTCTTTCTGGAAATCAAGAATCAAGCTGACTGTGAGGAGCTGCAGAAGGATCTTTGTGGGCTCCAAGAATGGTCGCAGAAATGACTGCTGAGATTCAATGTCAGGAAGTGTAAGAGGATGCACCTGGGGCGTACCAACGGTAAGGAGGCGTATCATAAACCCAACGGGATGAAGAAACTGCACTATTTGAGACTGAATGTGAGAAGGATCTAGGTGTGTATGTTGACAATGAGCTGAAGTTCTCGGGTCATTGCGAGAAGAAGGTAAATCAGGCAAATAAATTATTGGGTCTTATAAGAAGGTCGTTCAGATATCTAGACGGTCCGTCCCTCGTAACGATCTTCAAGAGTGAAGTGCTTACCCATCTGAGTATTGTCACATCAATAAATATTAAATACGTCAAAAGGTGGGTTTCAATCATTCCCTTCGACTTGCCCGTCACCTGAACGTCCTTAACCAAGGCGTTTACAATTATCATTTGACGTCGTTGGCTGTTTATACAATATTCCTTAATATTACCTTTACTTTAGTTCCTCGTCTAGAGTTACATTTTCTTATATCTCACAGTATCAAAGAGCACCACAGAATGGTAATCTTAAGTAACATTAAGTTAAAGGTAACAGGCGTTATTGATGCGGGAAAATATTGACGTGTGAGTGAATGAAATGAAGGAAATCAAATAAATGAATATGAATAGTAAAGATTAGTTAAGAGTAGTGAAGAGGCTAACGAAATAATATGAATATGGTCAATATTTAAACAAGCTCAAACAAAGTATATTTTATTTATAACAAATTTTCATAGTTGCAATGTGTGACTTTTCTTAACCAAGTTAGAAATTAATATATAATATAGTTGAATATACAGTGTAGTTGGTGACTTTTTTTAGTTAAGAATTACACGACTTTTTAATTTTTAATTATGTTGTTTATATGGCAGGTGTAGAAGGAATTTAAATACACTAATACTACCTGGGGGAGTTAGGTTAGGTTGGTTTAACAAAAGGTGGTTAAGTTTAAGAAATATACGGGGTATGTCATTTTCACGTGAATTTTCTTAGATTAGGGTTGTGTGTGTGTGTGTGTGTGTGTGTGTGTGTGTGTTGGAAATTTGGTGGTGCAACTGTTAGTTTAACCTTGATTTAAGTGCCAGTGTCCCAGTGCTAGTACAGTGCCACACTCCCTGCGTCATGCACCACCACCACACCGCTGCCACAACCAATTACGAGTCAACTGCCATCGCTACTACCACTGTCATCACCACTAATACTGCTACTTCTACCACCACCACCGACATTCCCCGTGTCCAGCATTGCTAACTCTGCAGGTAATCTACGTGTTCTACCGTGTCCTACCGTGTCCTACCGTGTCCCACCGTGTTCAATGTCCTACCGTACGTCTTGCAATTCATCACCGTGTTTACCGTATCGTACCGTGTCTTACCGTATCCTACCGTGTCTTACCGTGTCCTACCGTGTCTTACCGTATCCATCATGTGTCTTACCGTATCCCATTCCAGTTCACTGTGTCCTACCGTGTCTTACCGTGTCCTACAATGTGTCTTACCGTGTCCTGTCTCAGTTCCATCAGTCTTACCGTGTCCTACCGTGTCTTACCGTATCCACCGTGTCTTACCGTATCCTACCGTGTCTTACCGTATCCTACCGTCTTACCGTTCCACCGTATCCACTGTGTCTTACCGTATCCTACCGTGTCTTACCGTATCCTACCGTGTCTTACCGTATCCTACCGTGTCTTACCGTATCCCACCGTGTCTTACCGTATCCTACCGTGTTCACCGATTCTATACCGTGTTCATCGTATCCACCGTGTCTTACCGTATCCCACCGTGTCTTACCGTATCCTACCGTGTCTTCATCATCTCACCGTGTTTACCGTATCCTACCGTGTCTTACCGTATCTTACCGTATCCCTGTGTTTTACCGTATCCTACCGTGTCTTACCGTGTCTTACTGTATCCTACCGTGTCTTACCGTATCCTACCGTGTCTTACCGTATCCTACCGTGTCTACCGTATCCTACCGTGTTTACCGTATCCCACCGTGTCTACCGTATCCCACCGTGTCTTTACCGTGTCTTACCGTATCCACCGTGTCTTACCGTGTCCCACCGTGTCTTACCGTATCCTACCGTGTCTTACCGTATCCTACCGTGTCTACCGTATCCACCGTCCACCGTATCCTACCGTGTCTTACCGTATCCTACCGTGTCTTACCGTATCCACCGTGTTCATCAGTCCTACCGTGTCTTACCGTATCCCACCGTGTCTTAACATCCCAATGTGTCTTACCGTATCCTACCGTGTCTTACCGTATCCTACCGTGTCTTACCGTGTCTTACCGTATCCTACCGTGTCTTACCGTATCTATCGTGTTTACCGTGTTTACCGTATCCTACCGTGTCCTATCGTGTCCTATCGTGTCCAACTGTGTCCTGTCGTGTCCTAACCCGGTACAATACTGTTAAATATATTGATTTTATTGTTTACATTATCATCGAGAGGAACCTATGTATCACTGCCATCCTCATACACACACACACACACACACACACACACACACACACACACACACACACAGACCGTTTCATCTCTCGTCTCTCACTCTATCCCTATGTAGGCGAAGGAGATGGCAACAGCAGCAGCAAGGAGGTGGCTGGTGTCGCTGTTGTGTGTGTGTGTCGCCATCACCACGGGCGGGAGGCCAGTGTACCAGACGCTACAGGTTGGTCCTATTCTTCACTAGGGATCCTAGAAGTAGGCAACTCAGAAAACTTGATAGGTTTACACGGGACTATCAAGGTTTATACGGGACTATATTGGTTTACACGGGACTACATTGGCTTACACGGGTTTATATTGGTTTACACGGGACTATATAAGTTTACACGGCACTATATAGGTTTACACAGGATTATATAGGTTTACACAGGACTATATTGGTTTACACAGGACTATATAAGTTTACACAGAACTATATAGGTTTACTTTACTTTTATCCTCTTCACCACTGATCGGCTCGTTAGCCGCTAAGGCGAACGGTCACGTCTCTGTCACGCACTGTTGTCAGGAACTAGTCATATTCTGGCTCTCTGTTACGCACTGTTGGCAAGTACTGGGCATGCACCGACTCCTGAATGTATCTGAACCTGTTCCAGTGTTGGTCAAGTCTTGTCTTGAAAGAGCTCACACTCGGTGCCGTCACAACACTTTCTAGCAGATTGTTCCAAGAGTTCACAACCCTCACTCCGAAAAAGTTTGCCCTCACAGTTTTCTGGACTCATGGCTTCTTCAATCTTGAGCTGTGACCCCTTGTGGGGCGAGCGTCCGCCAGCTCCAAGTAAGGACATTCGACTTAATAGTGCTCCTTGAGATGCTTATGCACCTGAATTAGGTCTCCCCTTGCCCGTCTGTAGTATAAGCTAGACAAGTTCAGGCACTCTAATCTCTCAGGGTAGTTGAGGTGCCGAATGCAAGCACCAGTCTGGTGGCCCTCCTTTGAACATTTTCAACCAACTGACAGTCCCTAGCATATCTCGGGGACCAGACGGGGTGACAATACTCCAGATGGGGAAGCACTTCACTCTTGAAGATCGTTACGAGGGACGGACCGTTTAAATATCTGAACGACCTTCTTATAAGACCCAATAATTTATTTGCCTGATTTACCTTCTTCTCGCAATGGCCCGAGAACTTCAGCTCATTGTCAACATACACACCTAGGTCCTTCTCACATTCAATCTCAACTAGTGCAGTTTCTTCATCCCGTTGGGACATATGATACGCCTCCTTACCGTTGGTACGCACCAGGTGCATCCTCTTGCACTTCGTAACATTGAATCTCAGTAGCCATTTCTATGACCATTCCTGGAGCTCACAGAGATCCTTCTACAGCCCTTCACAGTCTGCTTGGTTCTTGATATCCCGAAATAACGTGGCATCATCGGTAAACATTTGTATGGAGGAGTGTACAACGTCAGGCATGTCATTTATGAAGCAAACAAACAACAGCGGGCCCAATACACTGCCCTGTAGTACCCCGCTTGTGACAGGTACAGATGATGATTTCATTTCATTAATCACCACACACTGCTTGCGGTCACGTAGAAAGTCTTCTGTCCACGCTAGGACATTTCCCCGAATTCCATTCCCTTCTAGTTTGATTTTCAGCCTTTCGTGGGGTACACTGTCGAAAGCCTTGGCAAAATCTAAATATATATTGTCGATATTACCACCCTGTTCCAGAATATGGGTCCAAATATCCAATACCTTGAGCAATTGTGTTAAGCAGGAGCGCCCTGGCATAAAACCGTGTTGGCAATTCTTTACACGGTAGTTTCGTAGTAGATGTCTTATCGCTGCATCTCTGATAATACTCTCAAGTACTTTACATATTATGCTGGTCAGGCTCACCGGTCTATAGTTGTTCGTGGAGAGACGATAGCCCTTCTTGAAGGTAGGACTCACATAAGCCACTTTCCATTCACTGGGGACCTTTTGTTCATCCAGGCATTTACAAAACAGGATCTTCAGGGGCTCGGTAAGCTCTGGTGCACTCTGGGATGCACCATGTCAGGGCCGGGACTCTCATGGACCCTTATCTTTGACAGTTTATGTGTAATGCCCTCTTCTGTGAACACATTGTGGGTCAGTGCTGTGTCGAACCGTCTGTCTTCAAAAGCAGGAAGGTTAGTTGCATCCTCTTTTGTGAACGCCAAGGAAAAGAAGCTGTTCAATACCTCAGCTTTATCCTGGTAAGAATCTGCGTAACTACCATCCACCAGCCTCTGGTCTGATACTCCTACTCGCGTTTTTAATTTCGATTTTGCATAGCGATAAAACGCCTTTGGGTTTAACTTGACCTCCTTTGTTCGTTTGTAACCTGCTTCTGGAACTCATTTTCAGCCCTTCTACACTCTGCCTTTGCTTGGTTTGTGGCTCTTGCATACATCCTCCTGTCCTGCTCATCGTTTGACTCAACGCCACGTCTTGAATTTCTGGGTTTTCTTCTTAACTTTATCGACCGCCTCATGGTTCGTGTAGGGATCCCATCGTATTCCTAGAGGCACTGGGTGTGGTCTTGGGTATATATTTATCGATCAAATGGGTCACTTTACTAGGGTCTATAGAGGTTTACATGGGACTATATAGGTTTACACAGGACTATATTGGTTTACACAGGACTATATAGGTTTATACAGGACTATATAGGTTTACACAGGACTATATTGGTTTACACAGGACTATATAGGTTTACACAGGACTATATAGGTTTACACAGACTCTACCTTTATACTATAGCTCCCTCTCTAACAAATAGCCTCGACTGTGAGAGGAAACACCAACAACAACAACAATAATAATAATAATAATAATAATAATAATAATAATAATAATAATAATAACAATAACATAATAATAATAAGCAAATAATAACAACGACAAAGTAATAGCCGGGCCACGGTGAAGATAAAAGAGGACCTGTGTACTGACTGCTTGATGATATTCGGTCGTTCTAGGAAGGGAGAAAGAGTCCAGCCTTTGCTCACACCGTTTCATTCTCTCTCTGACATTACTGGTTGTGTTATGAGACTTTGTTAATGTTTGTTGTATTTTAGCGTAAATAAATTAACGTATTAGTGTATTTTTTTAATTAATGTATTAGTGTATTTTTTTTTTTAATTATTGTATATAATTTATGTATTTTTTAAAGTGTTTCACGATTACAGTGTTTAGAATATGTTACCTGGTGACTAGGCCCACCATGTTTATTTTACCTGAAGATTAACCACCCTAATCTAATCGAACTTAATATTAACCTATAATAACCTAATCTAACCCTATCTATTCTAACCTAACCAAACCTAACCTAACCAAACCAAACCAAACCTAACCTAATTTAACGTAACTTAACCTAACCTGACCTAACCTAACCTAACCTAGCCTGACGTAGCCTAATTTAACGTAACTTAACCTAATCTAACCTAACCTAATCAACCCGAACGTAACCTACCGTAATCTAACTTAACCTAACCAACCCTGAGGAAGCCAGTAGCCTGATATACCACAGTGACCAATCAGTTCACTCGAAGCTTGAGACTAAAAGGCCTAAGGTCAGTTTGTAACGAGGCAGCTGATTGGTTGGCGGACGGACACGAGACAAATCACTACTGTTCTTTAACCCGTGTCCGTCCAATCAGCTGCCTCGTTACAAACTGACCTTACGACGCAATTGCAAGTTTTGAGTGAAGTTAACAGACTAGAGTCACTATTCCCTTCACCATACACTCTCACCACTTCTTCATCACATATCACCACACCACCATCACCAAGCATCACCTCACCTCCACCACCAGGTCATCACACCATCATAACCACCACCTCACCTCCACCCAGGTCACCACACCATCACCACCACACCACCACCACCAGGTCACCACACACATCACCACCACACCACCACCGCCAGGTTCCTCCACTGCCTCACCTCCACCTGCCAGGTCACCCACCACCACCTCACCTCCATCACAGGTCACCACACCATCATGACCACCACCTCCTCCACGCCCAGGTCACCCACACCATCACCACCACACACCACCAGGTCACCACACCACCATGCCACCACACCACCACCACCGCAGGTCACCACACCATCACCACCTCACACTGCCTCCACCACTAGGTCACCACACCATCACCACCACCACACCTCCATCACCAGGTCACCGCATCCACCACCACACCACCACCTCACCTCCATCACCAAGTCACCACACCATCACCACCACACCACCACCTCACCTCCATCACCAGGTCACCACACCATCACCACCACCACATCACCTATCTCAGGAGAGGGTGAATGTGCCTTCCGAGGTGTGGCAGAAGTTGACTGGAGTGATCAAGGCGGCCTGTCAACACAGTCTACAGCTGGTCGACTGTCCAGAACTCCTACTGAAGCTCAACCAGGGTGAGTCTCTTTACCTACCTCCATATAACGTTAAATAAAGGTTTTACTGTATTACTTATCTTAACATTGTGATCCTGTGATAAGAATGAATAGAGAGGAAGAAGATTACTTATACTACTACTACTACTACTACTACTTAATAATAATAATAATAATAATAATAATAATAATAAATTTCAGTTAGATCAGGTTACGTTAAGGTGTTTAATCATCAGGTTTGCAAAGGTGAGACGACAAATGTTCAGGTGAGCGTTTTAATTAATCAAGTGTTACTCCTCCACAGGTAAGATAGATGCTGTCCCACCTGGCCAATCGACACCTGCCCAAATGGTGGGTCGGCAGTTCTACGACCTTATTAACTTCCGCTACTATGGTGAGCTGTACACCTGTCTGTCTGTCTGTGTATCTATCTATCTATCGATCTATATCTTCGTCTGTGTCTGTCTGTCTGTCTGTCTGTGTGTCTGTCTGTGTGTCTATCTATCTGTCTATCTATCGATCTATCTATCTCTTTGCCTGCCTGTCTGTCTGTCTGTCTATCTATCTATCTACTGTATCTATCTATCTATCTATCTATCTATCTATCTATCTATCTCTTTGTCTGTCTGTCTCTTCAATGCGATGTTTGTAATCAATGTTGAGTTATTAACTGTCAAATACAGTAATATTATCAGAGGAATAAAAACCTGACTCAAATTACAAATAATATTCTCGCTCTCTAGTGTGATGCAGGTGTTATACAGGTGTTGACAGGTGTGATACAGGTGTTATACAGGTGTTGACAGGTGTGATACAGGTGTTATACAGGTGTTGACAGGTGTGATACAGGTGTTGACAGATGTGATACTGGTGTTGACAGGTGTGACAGGTATTGGACAGCTGTGATACGGTGTTGACAGATGATACTGGTGTGACAGATGTGATACAGGTGTGATACGGTGTTGACAGGTGTGATGCAGGTGTTTTAGGTGGTGATACAGATGTGATACAGGTGTTGAAAGGTGTGATGCAGGTGTTGACAGGTGTCATACAGGTGTTGACAGGTGTGACTGGTGTTGAAAGATGTGATACCGGTGTTGACAGGTGTGATGCAGGTGTTGACAGGTGTGATGCAGGTGTTGACAGGTGTGATACAGGTGTTGACAGGTGTGATACTGGTATTGACAGATGTGATACTGGTGTTGACAGGTGTGATACAGGTGTTGACAGATGTGATACAGGTGGTGAAAGGTGTGATACTGGTGTTGACAGATGTGATACTGGTGACAGAGATGTGTGTACAGGTGTTGACAGGATAAAGGTGTGACAGGTGTGATGCAGGTGTTATACAGGTGTTGACAGGTGTGATACAGGTGTTATACAGGTGTTGACAGGTGTGATACAGGTGTTATACAGGTGTTGACAGGTGTGATACAGGTGTTATACAGGTGTTGACAGGTGTGATACAGGTGTTATACAGGTGTTGACAGGTGTGATACAGGTGATATACAGGTGTGCTGCAGGTTGACAGGTGTGCTACAGGTGTTGACATGTGTGATACAAGTGTGACACAGGTGTTATACAGGTGTTGACAGGTGTGATATAGGCGTTGACAGGTGTGATACATGTGTTATACAGGTGTTGACAGGTGTGATACAGGTGTTATACAGGTGTGATGCAGGTTGACAGGTGTGCTACAGGTGTTTACATGTGTGATACAGGTGTGATACAGGTGTTCACAGGTGTGATACAGGTGTTGACAGGTGTGATACAAGTGTTGACAGGTGATACAGGTGTTGACAGGTGTGATACAGGTGTTATACAGGTATGATACAGGTTGACAGGTGTGATACAGGTGTTGACAGGTGGGATACAGGTTGTTACAGGTGTTTACAGGTGTCATAAAGGTGTTGACAGGTGTGATACAGGTGTTGACAGGTGTGATAAAGGCCTTATACAGGTCAGGTGTTATACGGGTGTTTACAGGTGTGATAGGTGTTGACAGGTGTATATATACAGGTCTTTACAGGTGTTTACAGGTGTTATACGGGTGTTTACATGTGTGATGCAGGTGTTATACAGGTGTGATACAGGTGTTTACAGGTGTTGACAGGGTGATACAGGTGTTATACAGGTGTTTACATGTGTTGACAGGTGTGATACAGGTGCTATACAGGTGATGTATAGGTGTTATACAGGTGTTGACAGGTGTAATACAAGTGTTATACAGGTGTTTACATGAGTTGATAGGTGTGATACAGGTGTTATACAGGTGTTTACAGGTGTTGACATGTGTGATACAGGTGTTGATAGTGTAACAATAATATTAAATAAAAAGGTTTTATTCTTCCTTTTCTTCTGTCTAGTTATACTTGTATGATGGTGAAGGAAGAATTGAGAAAGGGGGGAGTGAGAGGTACTAGTTTATGTTGTTTTTCAGGCTGAGGGGTGTTAAGGAATGTACTGAGGGAGGGGGGGGCAAGACTGTACTACTGCATACCACTAAAGATACTTAGAGAGGACAATACTCTACTCCAGACACAAGGGAATTGAGAACTAATCATAATGGTTCTTCGTTTATTAACGACGTTACTCAAAATGAACAGTTACACTTCAAAACAATAACATATCTTCCTAGCTAGCTAACCAGGGGTCACATGAATCACAATGCATTTCGTGAAACGGATGAACCTAAAAGGTACTCACATTATACCTCGCCATGTGAGGAGATAACACCCACACACCCACACTTACGGAGGGATGCCACCTCTTCATGACGTCACGTCTCACAGGTTTTCTTATTGGTCCAGGTCTAAGGCCTTCACTCTCACAGGTTCTATGATTGGCTCGAACCCTCAGGCGGGAACACTCATGACATTGTTACAACAGTGTGATACAGGTGTTGACAGGTGTGATACAGGTGTTGACAGGCGTGATACATGTGTTGACAGATGTGATACAGGTGTTGACAGCTGTGATACAGGTGTTGAAAGGTGTGATACAGGTGTTGACAGATGTGATACTGGTGTTGACAGCTGTGATACTGGTGTTGACAGGTGTGATACAGGTGTTGACAGCTGTGATACTGGTGTTGACAGCTGTGATACAGGTGTTGACAGATGTGATACTGGTGTGACAGATGTGATACAGGTGTTGACAGGTGTGATGCAGGTGTTTTAGGTGTGATACAGATGTGATACAGGTGTTGACAGGTGTGATGCAGGTGTTGACAGGTGTCATACAGGTGTTGACAGGTGTGATACTGGTGTTGACAGATGTGATACTGGTGTTGACAGGTGTGATGCAGGTGTTGACAGGTGTGATGCAGGTGTTGACAGGTGTGATACAGGTGTTGACAGGTGTGATACTGGTATTGACAGATGTGATACTGGTGTTGACAGGTGTGATACAAGTGTTGACAGATGTGATACAGGTGTTGAAAGGTGTGATACTGGTGTTGACAGATGTGATACTGGTGTTGACAGATGTGATACAGGTGTGTTACAGGTGTTGACAGGTGTGATAAAGGTCTTGACAGGTGTGATGCAGGTGTTGACAGGTGTGGTACAGGTGTTGACAGGTGTGATACTGGTGTTGACAGATGTGATACTGGTGTTGACAGATGTGATACAGGTGTGTTACAGGTGTTGACAGGTGTGATACTGGTGTTGACAGGTGTGATACAGGTGTTGACAGGTGTGATACTGGTGTTGACAGGTGTGGTACAGGTGTTGACAGTTATGATACTGGTGTTGACTGGTGTGATACAGGTGTTGAAAGGTGTGATACCTAACCTAACCTAACCTAGCATAATCTAACCTTACCTAACCTATCCATCAGAGGTGCTCAAGTTGTTGCCTGAACTAAGTGTGGAGGAGGCCGTGCTCGAGAAGGACCTCCAAGACCTCGAGGAGAAGGAGGCCGCCCTTACCGAGCTGCTAGAAAAGCTGAGGAGAGGGGATACCTCAGTGGACATGTGAGATAGATAGATAGATAGATAGGTAGATAGATATATGTTCAGGTAATCAAGTGTTTAACTAATGAGGACTCATAACTACCCACGGACAGGTGTTATAAGTAGCTATTAGCTAGCAACATCTAATTCATGTCCCATAAAATAGGTGTTCCAGCTAACTAACAACTTGTTATTAATTAACAACCAGGTGTTATGAATCAACTAAAAATCAGGTGTTCTAACTAACAAATGTTAAAAAGAACAGGTATTTTAATTAAGCAACGACCAGGTATCACAACTAATTAACAACCAGGTATTCTAATTAGGCAACAACCAGGTACCATAACTAATTAACACTCCGGTAATCTATTTAGGCAACAACTAGGTGTCATAACTAATTAACAACCAGGTATTATAACCCCTTCTTGAATGTCTAACGACCTAACTACCTCGTTATCTCTCCTAATGGATACAACAGATACGGAACTACCCATTACATCATGCCATGGCTGAAAACATCTACCTGCTCACCTTCCGCTAATAGATTAAGGTTTGTTTGTTGTTATTATGCCTTGTTTATCCAGTTATTTCTTAGTTCCTTTTATCTATTAATCTATATCTTGTTTTTACTTATTGTTGTTATTATCATCATCATCATCGTCATCATCATCATCATCAGTAGCAGCAGCAGTAGCAGTCGTAGTACTAGTAGTAGTAGGTATGGTTGGCCAGTAGAAGGTTTGGCCTCCCAATACGTGTGTAGTTCATCCTATGACACTGACCACGCCATGGTGTGCAAGAAAGGGGGCTTCGTATACATGAGACATGACGAAGTATGGGATCTCACAGCAAATATGTTGAAGGAAATCTGCTATGATGTCACGGTTGAACCGACCCTCCTTCCATTGAACGGTGAGAATCTCCTTCACAGATCTTCCAAAACATCCAACGAAGCCCGTGTGGACGTCACTACTCTAGGATTCTGAACGCGGGGACAATGAGCCTTCTTTTGCCATCAGGATATTCGATCCCACGGCCACATGTCACCGTAACCTACAGTATCTCTCGAGGCTGCACCCAGGAGGAACGAGAACAAGAACAGATCGTTAACACAGAGAATTCAGAATGTGGATTACAGCAGCTTCACTCCTCTGGTGGTCACAACCTCTGGTGGGATGAGACCAAGTGCAAGATGTTTCTATGCAAGACTGACCGAGGTGTTGTCTGAGCAGAAGCAGCAGCCCCGAGGCCACGTTGCAGCCTGGTTGAGATGTTGACTGTCCTTCTCTGCTTAGGTCTGCATTGCTTTGCTTCAGGGGAACGAGATCATCGACCCCAAAGCCGACAACAGTCGCATGCATTGACTATGAGGCAACAGTCACTGAATACCTGACAGATCTGCAGCTTTATTAACTCAACTAAGGCAGTTACTTTTGTATGAAGATGGTTAGGTAATGGTGATGAAGGTGTGGCAAGGGTATAGTTCTTGTAGCCATTCTATCCAGCTGTAGTCTCCCGTTTGTGTTTCAGGGCTCATGACTGTGCCGACCATCTCCTCCACGGCCACAAACAGAGCGGCGTCTATGAAATCTTCCCCTTCAAGTGAGTGTCTGTCTATCTCTATGTCTATGTATGTTTATATGGCTGTCTTTCTGTCTATGTCTGTCTATACATATGTCTTGCTTTCTGTCTGTCTTTATATATGTCTGTCTGTCCAGCTATCTGTCTGTTTGTCTGTCGGTATGTTTGTCTTCTATCTATGTCTGTCCATGTCTGTTTATGTCCATCAGCATCTGTCTGTCTGTATATGTCTGTCTATGTCTGTCTCTCTATATGAAAGTACATCTTCATAATGTTTCAGACTATCCTGAAAGAAAGAGAAAGTGAGTGAAAGTTAGAGAGAGAGAGAGAGAGAGAGAGAGAGAGAGAGAGAGAGAGAGAGAGAGAGAGAGAGAGAGAGAGAGAGACAGAAAGAGTGAAAAAGAGTTAAGAGAGAAAAACTTAAAGTGAGAAAAATAGAATGAGAGAGTAAGAGAAAATTGAGTGAGTGTGAGAGTGAGTGTGAGAGTGAGTGTGAGAGTGAGTGTGAGAGATACTAACACCCTCTATCTTGCAGGTGTAAGTGCGACAAGGGTGTGAAGGTGTGGTGCGACATGGAGACAGAAGGAGGAGGGTGGACAGCTTTCCTAGTGAGACAGAACCTGACAGAGAACTTTGAGCGAAACTGGCAGGAGTATGCAGTGGGATTCGGGGAGGCCTCTCAGGAGTACTATATGGGTGAGTCTTCCCATATATGTGACTTTCATATATGTGACCTTAATGAAATATGACTATATATATATATATACATGCAAAAATGTCTCCATATCAAATTAACAGATGTTGATATTACAAACGATCGTCTTATCTAACTATCTATCTATGTATCTATCTATCTATCTATCTATCTATCTAACTATCTATCTATCTATCTATCTAGACATAATTAACAGATACTGATGTTATGTATTCGTCTTATCACTAAAGGAAACGATAACCTGCACGCCATGACGTCATCAAGGTTGTATACAATGCGGACAGTCTTCCGATCAGCTAATGGCCTGACGAGGTGGGGCCAGTGGGGACTGTTTAGTGTTGCCAGTGGAGACGAAAGGTGAGGTGGTGCTCTCTCTCTCTCTCTCTCTCTCTCTCTCTCTCTCTCTCTCTCTCTCTCTCTCTCCCTTCGATACATAACAAATTACTAGTATTCATAGCCTATTTATTTCCCCCCCATTAAAATATACACACATTTATACATCTATCTATCAAGTATTTTTATTTATAACAGATACAAATTGACTATTGGAAAGTTCCTGCCGCAGAGTCAGACTGCTGACTGTATGGCTCACAGCAACGCCAGGCAGTTCTCTACCATCGACTTCGACAATGATGGCAAGAATGGTGAGCTATAGGAGTGAAACGACCAGGGAGTGACAAGTGCGCTGAGACTATAGTTAGAGGCAGTGTGTCACTCCCAGGGCAATGAGATA